TGAAGCTACTCGAGGTAATGAGTCTGCTCATGTGCTTCATCGTGGTAAACTGATTCTCAACACAGGCATTCATTAAGCCTCATGGCATGTCACACACACTCACACACACTCACACACACACTCACACACACACACATTTCTGGGAGAGGAGGGTGGCACAGGCATGTGTAGGTCAGGGGACAGCCTCTGGGGTCAGTCCTGGTTTTGCATCTTGTTTGATGGGGTCTCTTAGTTGTCCACAGCTATGAACACAGGCTAGCTGGCCTGTGAGCTCCTGGGGCAGCTCCTGTCTCCATCTCCCACATCTCCTCATAGGCGCCTGAGATTAGAGACCACCACTACCACACCAGCCTTCTCTGTGAGTTCAGGAGATTCAAACACAGATCCTCACATTTGCAAGGCAAGTGCGTTTCTCATTGAGCCATCTCCCTAGTCCCATGATTTTTATTTATCGATTATCCCTCATAAAGCTGGCTGACACTATGCTTGCTGTTGGCTTCATCTTCTTCCAGCATCTAACTTCTTTCTGTCCCCATCACGAGACATCCCTAAGTTCTCTCCCCACCTGTAACCCACCTCTCCACCACCCACTCAGGAAGAGGATGGTTTCCTGTCTTCCTTGGCAACACCCTGGGGAAGGGCTGCTCTCATCTCTGCCTCAGAGCTGCACCTGGAGATTTCGTACATGTGTGTGTCAGTCCTTAAGACTGTGTCCTGAGTCTGGGACCCCACAGTGTCCTCTTTAGGACAACTTCTCCTCCCACGGCTTACTGAGAAAGGCCTCTGCCACCCTTCGGGTCTGCAGTGACCTCGCCTGACCTCACCCTTGACCTCTAGCTGGCTCTGCAGTCTACTGGGAAGCATGAGCCCTGCTTACTTCCGGCTTCTGGCTTGTCCTGTCAGCCCTGGTCCTGGTTGGAGCTCAGCTCCTTCCCTCTGGAGCTGCCCGCGTTTTCCAGTTCCCCCAGATCCTCATGAGATCGTGGCGATGTTCCCAGAGCTGTGTCTTTCTATTTTAATTACTTAAGGATCTTAAAGGGCCCAGGACATGCATCCCCTGTGAGTGAAGTCATGAAACTTGTAAAATTCCCAAACTGTCAGAAGAAAAGGAGACCCATGTTGTCCCACGTTGGTTCTTTCCGTTGAGTGATGTGACCCTGGCATGGCAGGTTCGTCGTCATCAGCACCTCCCTGGATGGGACTCAGGACCTGGGGCCACTGTGCCGAGAGCTCTCTTATTGCTCCTCCAACCCCAGTGGGCTCCCAGGGGACTCTCAGACCCCTGGCCCTGTCACCTGCACGGGGTGAGGCAGGCCAAGCCAGCACTCCCAGGACACCGAGGCCTCTGCCTCAGGTGACCTCACCAGAGCAGCCCTGGAGACCTGGGATCGAGCCAGCCCCTCAATAATCACAGGAGGACCTCGCAGCCCCCACAGTCCCTTGCACCCCTTTTGGCTTGGGACATCCCTGTTTTCCCTTCACTGCTGAGGGCAGGGAGCCCTCCAACAGCTGGAGCCAGGACCAACCTATTGCTGCCATCTCTGAAACCACAGTCTCTGTGGGACAGACAGCCATGTGCCTTCTGTGTCCAGCAGGGGTTGGCCCCAGCAGCACCTCAGGAACCGAGTGTCCTAGGAGAGCTGCAGCCCTCAGATGGCCTCCTTCTCTCGCTGACTCAGCCCTGTCTCACACTTGTTATGCTTGAGCTGCAGAGCTGAGTAAACACAGTGTGTGCAGACAGATCCTGCCTGGCTGTGGGTCCCTCACTCCAGCTGGTCTGAGCCCCAATTGCCAAGATCTACAGAGTAAAGATGCAGGAGGACAGCCAGGGCCTCCACTGAACTGACTGCAGGTCAGAGGTCATTTGACAGTTGTTTGGGGGTGCATTGATTTCTTAACTTGCCTCTGCCCCTTGCTGCACATACTGTTCATAACCCAACAACTAGAGGAATACACTAACGACTGTCCCCCTTCCTTCCATACAAGGAGTCGTTGTCTTCCCAAGAAGGCCTGTTTAAATGGCAGGGTCCCCAAGCTCCACTCCTACACTTTTGGTGTTGGTCCCAGGAAGTGATACGCTGTTGGGGAAGTCCTGTTATTTGCCTGTGCATTTGTCAATAAAGTACTGTCTGGCCAATAGAAAACCTAGATAGGAGGGACTAGGAATCCAGGAGGATTCTGGGTAGGAGAAACACAGGAGAGTCAACATGTGACGCCATGGGGGTAAGATGCCGGGAACTATTCTCCGGTAAGAAACATACTTAGATTAACAATTATGGGATAATTACTTAAGGCAGAGCTAGCCAGTAAGAGACAAACAAGGCCAACAGCTTCATAATTAATATAGCCTCCTGTGTGTTTATTTGGGACTCATTCGGATCTAGAACCAGGCTGGCGCGGCAGAGCCCAGGTGACTGGCGGGGGATAAACCAAAGCGGCTAGCAAAAGAAAAAGCTTCTCTTAACAATACGCTATATAGCTCCTGCATTGGTTCATAAGCACACCCTCTGAACCACTTCACTGGATATGAAGCCCAGTCCCATCGCCCCCCCCAGATAAAAATGAGACCGGCCTTGTTAACATTTAATGTAATTATCCCAGAATTTGAGTCTGCTTTGTACAGCTGGCTGTTCGTGCTACCTTCCTCTGCAATTGCTGCCTTGTTCTGTATCGCCAACCATTTTGTAATTATGCTACGTGACGAATTTCAGCTAGGTTGCTCACGTTAATCTCTCCATTATGCTCCGTGCATGTAGGAAGGGTCTGTCTCGCACTGTAGCATCTGCCTGCTTTCAAACAGTTCCATTTCCTGGGTGGTGCACCTGCATGGAAACACCAGAGTGGCCCTAATCAACCATCTTGTGTCCCTGCTACCCTGCAGCCCAGAAGGACTCTAGCGTTGGACTCCTCATCAAATGTAGACACCCCTTGTAGAGGTTTTCCCTTCTTTCTTGTGTGTCCGTATGTTCTTTTAAAATCACGCCTCTTCTGCTTGTAGGACCCCTCTGGGTGTCCATCTCGGTACAGAGTAGCCACTAGTGAATCTTTCTTTTTTTTTTTTTTCTCTAAAAACGCATCTGCTTCATCTTCACCTTTGTAGTGTTTCTGACGGGAACAAGACGCAAGGCTGCCCTCCCATGGCTCTCCTTCAGCACTTTAACAGATGCCATTCCATCTCCTTTGACTTCCATTGTTGCCAACAAGAAGTCAGCTGTTCCCGGACTGTTTCTTTCTTTGCAGGACATGGCAGGCTTTTCTCAGCAAGAACTGTGATGTTATTAACCACTGAGCTCCCCTCCAGTCCCCTTCTTAGAATTTTAATTACACACTCCCAGTTTCTCCACAGCACCCTGCACACCCTAGTGTGCTTTTTTACTTCTCACGGTTTTTGTTTCATACCTCCTCGGCCTGGAACATTTTAGCAAACTTGCTTAAACAATCACTGTGCCAGCTTCGTGTGGCTTTCATTTGAATTTGCCTTTTCGTTTGAGGCTATTTGGCTCTATTTTCAAATGCAATTCTTCTGATAATGTACTCCGTCTTTTCATTTGTTAAAAATGAAATTTGTCACTAGTACCTCAGTGACTAAGTACCTGGGGCCTCCTGTTGTCTGTTTTCCCACTATGCGGCATCTGGTGGCTTTCTCCTCTGAGGTCTGGTAACCTTGTGAGTAAGTGCCTGAGACCCTAGACATTTTAGTCTTTCCACGGTGTAAATTTTGGCAGAGGCCAAGCACCCATGCAAACCCAGGGTTAAGACATTCTAAGGCTGCCCTTCTGTCCTCACAGAGCAGAGTCTATGTCAGTTTGTTCTCATGGAACAACCTCCTAGGGACTCAACAGAAAGCCTTGTGTGTTTTCTGGAATTCTGGGTTGTTGAGCCTTGAACTCCAAGGCTGTTGTAATGGTGTCTGTGATATGGGTGACACCCACACCTAGTTCAGTCTTGAGTACTGTGCTCTGTGAAACTTCTGCATCCACAAAGGCCTCTGGGAAGCAAGTGCTGGTATAGATCAGGCTCAACTGCCACGGCCTGTCTTACCCTCTTGTCTCCAGCTTTCGGTGTCAGCTTTGGTCTCTCCAGCTCTAGAGCCTGGCACACAACTCCAGACTGGCTCAGGCTCACTCACACATTGTTGGGTAGCTCAGGGAGCAGAGTGATGGGACCACCTTGGTGTGGTTTGCTTTTTCTCTGGGATACAAACATCAAGCTCTCACAGCTTGGGTTGCCTTTTGAGGCCTTTGAAAAGTAAATCTCTCTTTCTGAGTGTGTGTGCATGCGTGTGTGCTTGTACGTGTGCATGAGTGTGTTTGTGTGTTCTCTCATTTCTGTCTCTCCCTGGCTTTGCTTGTTTGCTAGAAGCTATTACATCAGATCAAAATATACATGGGACTCTTCTTATATGTTGAGACAGCAACATGTAGCGATCTGAAGTTGGCAGATTAACCATATCTCCAACCTAAATGAATGGGAAATTGTTTTAGTTATGGTTTCTCATGAATTAAAAACAAAAACCTGCATGACTGAAGGCTGGGGGTGTGGCTCAGTCATAGGAGTGCCTACCTAGTATGTGTGAAACTCTGTGATCAACCCTCAGCAACTCTATAACCTGTCAGATGGCACAACACTCAGGAGAGGCATACAGGAGGACCAGAAATCAAGGCCATCTGCCCTTAAAAAAGGCTTGAGGCCAGTCTGGGCTACATGAGATTTTGTCTCAATAAACAAAGTCTCTTTTTAAAAATGCACATCTGTATCATGGACAGAGAGAGATTAGCAAAGTCTCCAGCTTAGGGCAGAAATGCAAATGCCCATCAGAACCAAAAGGCAAGCTTCCTGAAGGGAAGCTTTCATCAGAGACAGGTGACAAGCTGCCTTGATGGGAAAACTTGGGGACTAGAGAAGAGCAGGAGGTTGACCCTGGTCCCCGTGTGAAAGACTGAACATGTAGGATACAGGAGGTTGGAAAAACATTGGCAGGACAATTGTTTTAGCTCCTTGCTTGATATGAAGACATATATGGACAGATTCTTCTTAACCGCTTCTAATAAAAGCTAGGTGCCAAGATTTACATGAGGGACTCAGGAGTCCTGAGTCCAAATCCTGCCTTTATTACCACTTAGCAGGCAGCACTTAATATGTTATCTAGCACAGCATATCTTGGGCAGTGTTTACTTCATCTGTAAAGTAGTAATGATGGGGTCACCTGTCCCATAGGACAGTTGAGAAAATCTGACAGGTATTTACACATGAGACACAGACTCCACTCCCACATTTGGAAAAGCATTTGTTAAACACAACCGGCTTGCAACACAGCACCCTCCTTTAGCCTGGTTCAGCCCACCGTCACTGTGTCTAAATGTCCATCTGGTCAATCTGCCTTATGCTGCTTGTGAGGTTCAGAAGTGGGTGGGGTCTGCTCAAACACACAGGCAGCCTGGTGGATGTGAAGTGGGTGGTAGACTGAGCTTCTTTTGTGTCCTGCAGCCAAGCAGCTCCTCTCCATGGCAGGCAGAAGGTGGAAGCTCCCTCTGACTATAGAGAAGGTTGTAATTGGCTCCCAGCCCTGACCCCCTTGTAGTCATTAGCAGAGCCCCTCACGCTCTGCCCATGAGGGAGAGGGCACCCTGACATACCATCCCTCATCTAAATGTTTAATAATGCCCCACCCTCAGCTCACAGGGTAACCAAACCCAAGCCAGCAGATCCTCAAAGCCACAGACTAACGAGGCCATGAAAGGGAAGATGCTTCTGTAATGAAAATTTCATCAATGCAGACTTCACATTGAATATCAGGGTCTCGGCATGAAGACAGCATCAGAGTGGCCGCTGCTGTGACATTGACCTTCATCCCTGGAGACAAGAACAAAGTAGGGCTGCTTCGATCTTTTGTGATAACATAGCCACAGGAAGGAGGCTGTGGGGTGGGAGAGTCAGCGAGGCCCCATCCCATTCCTCCTGAAGGGGCCTCTGCTGGTTGCATCTTGGCACCTCTGCTTTCCTCAGTTGCCCCTCTGGTTCCATCCCTATCTAATCTCAGTCCCCTCTGTCCCTTCACCCATCTCTATCCTCTTGCTCATCATCATTGCACAACCCACTGGACCGTGCTCCGGCAGCTTCCTCTCTCTTACTCTATCTCCTCCAGAACCCACAAGTCCCAGATCTTGTCTTGATGTCTCCCTACCCAGGAAGATTCCTTGGGGCGTCTTTTAAGAACAGCATCACTGGTGCTACCTTCCCCTTTCTGCCAGTATTTTCCTGCACATGCTTACACACACACACACACACACACACACACACACACACACACACACCACAGTGACAAAGGTTTATAATGCATCCAGAACAGCTTTTACTACAGCATCTGTATGTCTGTGAGTGCCCTGCGTCCTCTGTGAGCCAAGTGCAGCCTTGGTGAATTTTGCATCTCATCTTGATAAGATCTTATCCTGCTCCTGTGAGTTTGGCTTCTGGAAAGCCCTGGTTGGCACTCACAACTGTCAGAAATTGTCCTTCCCCAACACTGTGGTCTGTGGTGCCACAATGTGTTGGGATGTTCTGAACCAGAGGCTGTACACACACCAAAAACAGATACACTGGTGGCTTGAGTTCGCTTATTTATAGCCTGACAAGGAAGCACATAGAAATTACTCTTCCCTTTCATACAGTGTCTGTGTAAGGTTTCCAACAGCGAAGGAAATAAAGACACAAACAACTCTGAACTCTAAGTCACCTTTCCTTAAAGAAACTTGTAAACACAGAGAGAATGCACAAGAGGCTGTACTTGCAGGTTCTGCATCTTTCCAAAGTAAAGACAGTTAAAAAAAAATCTCCCAAGCATCACTAGTGACCTTGACCAAATCAAGTTCTTATGGATTTGTAGTAGACAATGGGGGCCAGGGAAATTAAAGCTAGTATTTAAGAGGAAATTTAAAGACCATTTAAGGAAACACTTTGGAGTCCATGGTGAGAAAGAAAAGTCTGGATGCAGAAAGAAATTCTGCAGCAAACAGGCTTCTCTGAGTTCTCCAAATGAAGTAAAGATGTTTTAAATTTTGATGTATCTTTTCCTATTGAATAGTCACAAAGATGCAGGAGTCCCTCCATCTTTCAAAAAAAAAAGGCATATGTGTTTGTAGATGTTTGCAAGTGCCTATGTATTTGTACTGCAATGAATAACGGTATGTTTTAATTACTGTGCTTGAGAGATATAAATAACCAAAACTGCCTCTAACCTGTAAGTTCCATGGCTCAAGGATAGATAACTTCCTGGGATGCTGGAGGCCGTTGTTCATGTAAAGCAACAAGCCAAGTGTTTTCACTTGTGTAAATAAGCTTGGTTGCCCCAACTGGCAGGATAGGCAGGAGGTAGATAGGCAGGAAGTGCATCAGGATGTAAGCTTGCCTCTGATTGGACAAAGGCAAGAAATATGTAGCCTTGTGAATTTTGTGCTTACAAGGCCCTGACTAATAATTGGGCACTGTACTCTAAGCATAGGTCTCGAGTATGAACTTGGAGAATAGCCATAGTCCTGGCCAATATTTAATTAAGATTGATTCAAACTTGACTCAAAAATTGTGGTAGTGGTCTTATTCTTGCCTGGTGGGATTAACAGTGCATATTTGTGTGTGCATATCTGGGCTCATTCATGTGGAGGCAAGAAGAGGACGTTAGGTGTCTTCCTCTATTACTCTCAACTTTATTTTTTTGAGACAGCGTCTCTCGCTGAATCTGCAGCTTCCTTATTTCTGAGCTGGTTGGCCAGCAAGCCCCAGAGGTCCTCTTTCTCTATCTCCCCAGTACTGGAGTGACAAGCACACAACCACCACACTTGGCTTTTTACATGGCTTTCAGATATTTGAACTCAGGTCCTCATGCTTGTACAGCAAGCACTTAACCACTGAGTCATCTCCCCAGCCCCAGAGGCCTGTGATATTCAGTACTGGGATCATACAACACCAGGGCACCAGTCAAGGCACAGTGCACAGCAAGGCCAGCAGCAGCAGAACAATGTGATGAACACCCAGCCAGGCCCAGGAGAATCAGCTCCGAGGGTGTTCTCTGTGGGGCTTCATAGCCAAGGTCCTCAAACGGAGACTCACATTTCATGTAGCCTAAGATGGCCTTGAACTCTCTGCCTCTAAGAATGGTCTTGATCTTTTCCTCCTCTTGCCTCATCCTCCTACGCTGGGATGACAGCTCTGCATCTCCATTCCTGACTTCACGGAGTCGTCACACATGCCTGATGGTCTCCAGTGGGGCTCAACCCAGTCACTCACAGGCACACATTGTCTGTTGCTACACAGAAATACTGTCTGTTACAGCTCAAAACTTAGTGGCACCAGCCAAGGACCCGCTGGATCTGCTTCTTCGGATCGAGTCCTAGGTCAGGCATGGCTGCCCAGTGTCTGCAGCTTCCACTAGGAAGGGCTAAGAACCTGGGTGACAGAGAGCATCACGGGCTGACTCTCCTGGAGACGCTCTTCACTTGTATGAAGTCTGCCTGGAATGGTTCAGAAGTCAACCCAGCTAATATCCTGAGCAGAGATACTCTTCCTGGAAGCTCCTCCCAGCATGGCTGCCTCTGGTGATCAGCCTCCTTTTGTGATGTCTCAGTTTCTAAGAACAAAATGTCTAACAAATAGACCTCTGAATGGCCTCTTCACACCAAGCCTTGAAGTACAGAGCATAAATTTCTCCAGCTGGAGGTCGCAGGGATGGGGAACAGACACAGATTCCATCTCCAGGTTAGAGGCAAGTCAGACATCTGTACTTGAATGACTCACACAGAGTCAGCGGCTCCAAATGCATCCGGGGATTATCTCTGCTTCTTTATTCTCCTACGCCCGGAATCACTCCCTTATTGTCTGACCACAAACCCTGGGGTCAGACTGTGCTTGGGGTCAGATCCCAAGTCAAGACCAGGCTCCACTTCAGCCTCCAGCACCCTGGGACACAAAGGAGAAACAGGTTCTACACTGAGCCCTCTTCAACTGAAATTCATGATGCAGTCTGTAAGGACGCTCCCCAGGAGACATGTTCAGACGTCCACACATACTGCTGTCTTCCACAGGACTGCTCCCATCTCCCAGGTCCCATTTATTTCTCCCTTAGAGGCTGCCTGCGTTTTCCTCCATAGTGCAATCTACCGAGAGTTTTGGAATGGGCTTTAGATTGCTACTTGATGAAGAGAAAGCAATGGTGGATACACGAGCGTTGACAGGGGTGGCAGCTGCCCTTCTTTGACTGAGCTTCACACGCTCCAAGACAACAGGCAAAATTTGGATGGATTCCCACTGCACCACTGCTAAGTGGTTCCATTTAAGTAAACACCCCCTGGGAATTCATATCCATGCTCTCCGCGGGTGATTCATTTTTTCTCCTACCCACTTCGAACATACAAAATTGAGAATATGTCAGACCTCACACGGGCTCTTTACAAAGTGTCCCCATTAACCAGGGCCATTTCAGCCCCGTGTTCTTGCCCTCCTCTAACGGCAGCACATGCATTTCCATAATAAAGAGCAGTTTATGGTTTGAAATCTTGACTGGTTGAAAAATGAATTCAGAAACCCCGATGGTTGGTTTATTGCCCATGTGCTTCCTTTGTCGTCGCCATTATTGGCTAAAAATAGGAAGCTGGAGAGACGGCCCAGCAGTCAGCACTGGCTGCTCTTCCAGAGGACCCAGGTTCGATTCCCAGTACCCACAGAGCAGCCCACAGCCCTCTGCAGCTGCATTTCTAGGGGATCTAAGGCTCTCTTCAGCTGCCAGGCACCTCTCAGAGGTTCAGTCCATCATCATCGTGGTGGGACATGGTGGCGCACAGGCTGACACGGTGCTGGAGAAGGAGCTGAGAGTCCTACATCTTGCAGGCAACAGGAAACAGATACAGGATGCTAGTACCACAACTCCAGACAGAATACGAGTGACAAACCTACAGAGGAACCAAAAGCCCTACCCTTAAAATGGCTAACAGATGAAACTACCTGGGTAGGGCAATGGCCTATGACCTCTGAGAAGCTAAAGACTTTAGAAAAGCTGGTTCAGGAACAGCTAAATGCTGGACATATTGAGGAATCTACAAGTCTGTGGACTTGCCCTGTATTTGTTATCAAAAAGAAATCTGGTAAATGGAGGATGCTTACAGACCTGTGAGCCATCGATAAAGTAATTCAGCCTATGGGCTCTCTACAGCCTGGGATGCCATTGCCTTCTCTGATATATAAAGGATGGCCTATTATGGTCATTGATCTAAAAGATTGCTTCTTCACTTTACCTTTACAAGAAAAAGATAGGGAAAAATTTGCCTTCACAGTGCCTACCTATAACAATTCTCAACCAGTTAGGAGGTTTTTGCCACAGGGAATGTTAAATGGTCCTACTCTGTGCCAGTATTTTGTGCAAAAACCCATAATTCGCAAACAATTTCCACAATCCCCAATTTAGCATTATATGAATGATATATTGTTGGCTGATTTGAAAGAAGGAATGTTGGAAAAGATGTTTGAGGTAGTAAAGGAAATTTTATCTCACTGGGGATTGCAGATTGCCCATGAAAAAAATACTAAGAGAAGATTCTATTAACTATTTAGGTTATAAAATAGATCTACAAAAAATTAGACCACAAAAAGTACAGATCAGGAGAGATCATTACTAGACTCTTAATGATCTTCAAAAACTACTAGGAGAGATTTCTCAACTACAGACAATTATTGGAGTAGAAGAGCATGATTTTAAACACCTAAAAATGGCCTGAAAAGGAGACGAGAACTTAAATAGTGCACGAATGTTATCAGCTGAGACTGAAAAAGAATTAGAATGGGTAGAAAAGAGAATACTAGAAGCACAT